CCAGTCTTCAACTGTCCAGTTTTGGTGAGCTCTTGCAAATTGTCGCCTCTTTTTCCTATTTGTAGTGGAGATGAGTGGTACCCGGTGGGGTCTTCTGCTGTTGTAGCCCATCCGCCTCAAGGTTGTGTGTGTTGTGTCTTTGCTGCATCCCTCGGTTGTAACGAGTGGTTATTTCAGTCAAAGTTGCTCTTCTATCAGCTTGAATCAGTCGGCCCATTCTCCTCTGACCTCTCGCATCAACAAGGCATTTTGGCCCACAGGACTGCCGCATACTGGATGTTTTTCCCTTTTCACTCCATTCTTTGTAAACCCTAGAAATGGTTGTGTGTGAAAATCCCAGTAACTGAGCAGATTGTGAAATACTCAGACCGGCCACGCTCAAAATCGCTCAAATCACCTTTCTTTCCCATTCTGACATTCAGTTTGGAGTTCAGGAGATTGTCTTGACCAGGACCACACCCCTAAATGCATTGAAGACACTGCCATGTGATTGGGTGATTAGATAAATGCATTAATGAGAAATTGATCAGGTGTTCCTAATAATCATTTTAGGAAGTAACTTTTACAAATGGTTTGACACTTTATGCTTTGTAACATGACCCCTTTAAGATTATCAACTCGACTGCTCTCTTACAGATTGCTTGTTGGTGACGCGTGTAAATGGACAAGACCCTTCCAGTGACGAACCAGGTAGAAGACTAAAGAAACTCACAATCCAAACCATACGTTATAAATCTGCTCTAATTAGAAGATGTTTTCTTCTCCTGAGCCTCAGAAATCAAATATGCTGTCATAGGAGCAGGGATTGGCCTCTTCTTCTCCATCTGTTTTCTGCTAATGAAAATCTACATCATCAAAAAGCAGATGCTTGACAATGAACCATCAGGTAAGTCCTTTCCTGTAAATCCGATTAAAATATTAAAGCTTTAATCAAAACGACATAATATTTATCATTTACACTTTAACATTTTTAAAGATGTATCACTAAGAAGAGCATCATCACGGTAAGGATATTGTTATTTGTATATTACACTATAATGAAAGTTTGCTGTGGAAGTGAATCTCATAAAATGATGATCTCTATTCTTTAGGGTCGTCGATGTGGAAAGCAGGAGGGAATGAAACTCTTCTGAGGATCAATTAATATTATGATATTAAGCTCAGAGAAAACAATCAAATATGTCAATTTCTGACTGATTTTATACTGATTTATTTATTAAATCAAATTCAGCAGATCAGCGTTCATTATTCGTTTTGTGCTTTTTACACTTTGAGAGCCATAACTGTATGTACATGAGTAACATGTTTATTTACAGTACATAAATGACGTATGTATCAAAAGCACAAACGATTTAAGCAACGTTTGTCATTTCATTTAAGGTAGAAAATCTTTAGTTTCATCTTTTTGCCTCTGTTGTGTGACAATAAAAATCACATGTGATTATGTGAAATCAAACATGACTGTATTTGCAATTTATTCAATAAAAAATGAACAGCTCATTGCAGATCAGTCGAATGAGTCTTAAGTAGAGTCATTTATCTTTATTAAATGACATGTTATGACAGATGCCTGAGGCAGTTATGGACCCTAAACACACACACACTATATTATGTGACTTACGTTTTATTGATTTGATATCAGGTTAATGATGTTAACTCAACCTCTGACCCATAAACGTCCTATAACAGAAGCATGTCCAAAACACAGGATTTCATGATTTAAAGGAGTAGTTCACTTTTCAAAAAACTTTTGCTGATAATTTACTCACCCCCATGTCATCCAAGATGTCCATGTCTTTCTTTCTTCAGTCGAAAAGAAATTAAGGTTTTTGATGAAAACATTCCGGGATTATCTCCATATAATGGACTTCAATGGGAACCAAATGCTTCAAGGTCCAAATGAGAATTTCAGTGCAAACTGCAAACTGTTCAAAGGGCTTTAAACGATTTTAGACGATGAATAAGGGTCTTATCAAGCGAAAGAGTCACAAACAGAGCAAGGTGAGCATTTGAGCTTATAAAAAGTAAATTTTGTTATTTATTTATTAAATGAGCAGCCTTTGACCTAAAGAGGACAAGTAAAATATCCTCATAGTCAGAATATGTTGTCATAACACTTCAGTAAACACGTGTCACTTTTAAGTCTTGCATTTGTTTTCTTCTAATCGTTACACTCAATTTAAATAAAATATAAAAATCCACAGTCTCGCAACTCATGATCTTGTATGTACTGTACAAAAGCAGAATAGTGCAGAATCTCTTTTCATTTTAAATAACATTTCTTTTAACATATATAAAATAACTTTTTAAAAAAAAAAAAATCCTAAACCTTTCGTTCATTTCCATCTTAAATCTCAGGTTTTCAATGTGGAGGCTTTTTTTTACATTCTCATACAATGCCTCTCTTCATCCAGAGGAGGGCGCTATTGTTGCACAACTGTTTGCACTGTTAGCTGAAACACATGCCGCTTTAAATGACACTTCCAGTTCTAACCAATCAAAATATGAGTAGCCTATAGGCTACTCATATTTTGATTGGTTAGAACTGTCAGAAAAAAAGGTACGAAAGCTGTCACTGGGGCGGTACCTTTTCAAAAAGTACACTTTGTACCTAAAGGTACAAATATGTCCATCAATACCAAATGCACCCTTAAATCCAAAAGTGTACATGAAGGTACCAATATGCACCTTTAGGTACAAAAGTGTACCATGAAGGTACCAATATGCACCCTTTAGGTACAAAAGTGTACCTTTTGAAAAGGTACAGCCCCAGTGACAGCTTTCGTACCTTTTTTTCTGAGAGTGATGTTATATTGGGAAGAAGAATCCACTAAACTTGGTTAGGGTATTAAAGTGACAAAATTATTTGGCAAGAAAGGCAAACTCAATACGACTTTATCGTATTATGTGCATTACCGTAACATGCAAGCATACAGTACATTGACTACAATCTAATCATTTTGCAGCTGCTGTTCTCCTGGGTATCGACTTTTAAATCTTTGTGCATGTGTCGTGCTTAACTTCTTTCTAATTCTCCTTAAGCTGAGCCTCATTGGAAGACCTGGATTCCCAAAGGTTTTCACTGTCTTTAAGGTCGGAAGACTGAGGCTGTCACTTGAAGGCTTCGAAATGCTGAGCATTGCATGCGTGTCGTGTTTGGGATCATTATCGTGCTGGAAAATACACACTTGATTTCCAAACTGATCCTTCAGAAGGATTCCCAAATATTGGTCTACATTCAAAGTACTAGCAACTTTGTAGATCCTTCCAATACCTTCTGAATACACACGTCCCCAATACCACGGTGAGTAATGGCCCATGCATTCGGTAGGTCTCCTACGAACATACCTGCTGACATCATTCAATGCAAGGTGTTCAATTTTGAGACTTCGGACTGCAGAACACAGTTACTACAATCCGCAAAGGTGTTGTTGTTTTTTTCAGTAGATAAAACGAATAAATGGTTTCTTTACTACATGACCTCTCACAGTTCGAGATGAAATCGGACGTCTCATCCAGGTCATTTGAGGTGATTCCACATTCATCATCCTGTCGAAACGCTCACTAGTCGTCCTTGACCAGCCACACACTTCACATTAAGCATATAGGGCAAAAACATTATTTTGAGGACATTGTGACCATCCTACACACGAGCAATATCCAAAACCGACTGAGCAGATTAAGCCATATATCCTTCTTGGTTGCAAACAACAACTCCTTCCATCGGGCCATTTTCATGATAGATTACAGTTTACACTTCAGCCACAACTTACAACATGCATAATCAGGGATGGGCATAAATACATGGAAATGTATTTAAATACAAATACAAAATACTGTGTGGAAAAATGTAAAATAGTATTTTGTATTTCAAATACATGTATCTGAAATACTGCCCATATCAAAAACCATTAGTGCGATTACTTCCCTTCATGTTAAAGGAGTAGTTCACTTTTAAAAAAAAAACTTATGCTGATAATTTACTCACCCCCATGTCAACCAAGATGTCCATGTCTTTCTTTCTACATTTGAAAAGAAATTAAGGTTTTTGATGAAAACATTCTAGGATTTTTCTCCATATAATGGACTTCAATGGGGTCCAAAGGCTTCAAGGTCCAAAAGAGTGTTTCAGTGCAAACTACAAACTGTTCAAAGGGCTTTAAACGATTCCAGACGATGAATAAGGGTCTTATCAAGTGAAACGATCACTCATTTAATAAATAAATAACAAAAGTTTTTAACAAAATTTTTCTCCATATAATGGACTTCAATGGGGTCCAAGCGGTTCAAGGTCCAAATGAGAGTTTCAGTGCAGCTTCAAAGGGCTTTAAACGACACCAGACAAATCTTTTTTCGAGTCATTCGGTTCACTCAACGAACAAAATAAACCAAATGACTCGAAAAAAGATTTTTTGAACAGGAGTTCGAACAGGAGAGTCACGTAAACTCATCACAGAACAGAGAAAGGCGAGCATTTGTGCTTATAAAATGTATACTTTTTTTTATTTATTAATTTAATGAGCGCTCGTTTCGCTTGATAAGACCCTTATTCATCGTCTGGTGTCGTTTAAAGCCCTTTGAACAGTTTGCACTGAAACTGTCTTTTGGATCTTGAACCGTTTGGACCCCATTGAAGTCCATTATATGGAGAAAAATCCTGGAATGTTTTCATCAAAAACCTTAATTTCTTTTCGACTGAAGAAAGAAAGGATGACATTGGGGTGAGTAAATTATCAGCAAAAGGTTTTTTTTGAAAAGTGAACTACTCTTTTTAAAGTTTCTTCAAGGAACCTGTGTATGAGATGTTTCACCGGCAGTAAACCTTGTTTGTAACTTTCTCCAACTAAAACTAGATTTCCACCTTCTGAAGAGGAAATGACATCGTCTTCATTGAGTGTAGTGTGTGTAAGTCCTGTACAAAGGGGGAGGATAGAGGGTGTACACTAAGTAAAAACAGAGCGTGCCCTGTCTCGGGTTACACAGAAGAGAGAGAAAAAGAGTAGAGGAATTCATAGAGATTGAACTGGAGTTGCATGGAGCCCATGATCGGACTGGAGAATGAAGATCTCTGCAGTGCTAACAGCTCTCCTGACTAAACTCCTCTTTGGAAGTAAGTGCAGTCGGTTTGATTTGGACATGTGATTGTTCAGTACTGGGAAAATCAGTCTAGGTGTTAAAAGTGACTTTTTTGCATGTAATGCATGTTTCTTTTTAATATTCATGTGCTTTTTGTGGCTCTGAGAGTTGCTGAAGGTCACCAGACAGACAGACTATATAAACGCCTCAATATAAATGCTATAGGGCAGAATGAAGATTCAACTGTTCATTTGTTTGTTTGTTTTCCTGGTAATTCATTTTTTCCCTTCGGATACGAGCATGCTGTGGTTTCTGACTCCTCCTTCACAAGTATAGAAGGAACATCCTCACTTTTTGTCACCCACATATCTGTGTGTGTATGTGTCACTTTGAGTTTAGAAATAGCACAACATCCTCGGAAAGAAGTGATACACCAGGTTGTTTTCTTCCTTAAAAATGCTTTCTGCTCATGGAAAATTGTGATTGTGACAGATTTTGTAGAAGTATGTTTACATCTATTTATAACTTTATATTAAGTCCTAAGTCCATATTCAAATTTACATAACTAAACTTTCAAATTCATAAATATACATTATAGAACTTATGCCTGTATATTATGGTTTTATATACACAATTATTTCCAATTTGTATATATATATATATATATATATATATATATATATATATATATTTCACAAAATGATGCTTTGGGAATTGACCTCAAAAATCCACAATATTAAAATAAAAACAAAAATTATTTATTCAACGAAGAATCCTTTTTATTTTTTGTTTAGAAATGTTTCTTGAGTAGCAAATCTGTGTGATTTCTGAAGGATAATGAAGACTGAAGTAATGCTGAAAATTCATCTTAATCCCAGGAATAAACTATATTTTACAATATATCCACGAAATCTATGTATTGCATTCACTTGAAGAAAAAAATGTACTCCGTTTTTCTGAATTAATGAGTAATTATCTCAGAATTACGAGATAATTTTTCATGGAAAAAATGTTTTTGAGATAATCAAGTCATTAATTCAGAAAACAGAGCAAAAATTATTTTTCCATGAAAAATTATCTTTTAATTCTGAGATAATTAACTTGTTAATTCAGAAAAACAGAGCAAAAAAATTTTTTTTCAATGAAAAATTATCTTGTTATTCTGATATAATTAACTCGTTAATTAAGAAAAACAGAGCAAAAACTTTTTCCCAATTATATTATAATTCTGAGATAATTAACTCGTTAATTTAGAAAAACAGAGTAAAAACTTTTTCCCAATTATCTTGTAATTCTGAGATAATTGACTCGTTAATTTAGAAAAACAGAGTAAAACTTTTTTCCCATGAAAAATTATCTAGTAATTCTGAGTTAATTAACTTGTTAATTCAGAAAAACAGAGCAAAAACTTTTTTCCCATGAAAATTTATCTTGTAATTCTGAGATAATTAACTCGTTAATTCAGAAAAACAGAGCAAAAACTTTTCCCCATGAAAAATTATCTCATAATTCTGAGATAGGTAACTCGTTAATTCAGAAAAAACAGAGCAAAATCTTTTTTCCATTAATAATTATCTTGTAATTCGGAGATGATTAACTCGTTAATTCAGAAAAACAGAGCAAAATCTTTTTTCCATTAATAATTATCTTGTAATTCGGAGATGATTAACTCGTTAATTCAGAAAAACAGAGCAAAATCTTTTTTCCATTAATAATTATCTTGTAATTCTGAGATAATTAACTACTTAATTCAGAAAAACTGAGTAGATTTTTTTCTTCAAGTGAATGCAATACGCTTGCGTAGAAAACTGTTATTTTAAATTGTAAAAATATTTCACAATTTTACTGTTTTTCCTGTATTTTTGATCACATAAATGCAGTCCAGTTGGGCATAAAAGACTTATTTCAAAAACAAATCTTACCGACCCCAAACTTTCGAAAACTAGTGTAGACACACACACACACACACACACATATATATATATATATATATGAATTTGTGGCGATGTCTGTCTGAGATCCACCCAAGTAATGTTCTCCAGATGGCCTGTCAAAAAGTCTCGTTAAGCAGGAGCAACAGGGTCTGGAGAGGCTCTCAGTTTTAATTTCCCAGCATGCATTGCTTTACAATGCTCTTAAAAGCCTCAAACAAATTGCTGTCTTACACGACGGAGACGCTAAATAAAATAAATAAAAACTTGTGTTTAATCATTTTTCATCCAGTTAGCAGTCGTTTTTCTAAAACATTGCGCCTCCATCTGTCTCATCAATGTCACATACTTTCCAGATGTGTGCTGGGCTCTCAACGTCACAGTGACTCCCTCTCCGTTCACGGTGGTGTCTGAGGGGGGGAACGTCACCCTGTCCTGCCAGCTGAGCCTGCGGCGCCGGTCCGCGAGTCTGCCTGTGGTGCGCTGGATGTTTCAGCCGGAGTCGGGGCGAGAGGAGCTGCTGGTGGCCCGGGTCAACATGCAGAGGGCCAAGTTTTACGGGAACTACACCAAGAGCTTCCACAAGCCCAAAATGAAACTCACAGTGGTGAAACACGGCAAGATATACAACCTGGTCATCGTGAACATCAGCGAGCAGGACCGGGGTCTGTACAGCTGCAGGGTGCAGGAGTTTAAGAAGCAGCGGGAACGATGGAAAGCTTTGACCAACGGCTCGGCCTCGACGCAGCTCAGAGGTTTGTCGAACGCACAGCGCGGGTTACTGATGGGAGAAAATAGTTTTAATGGACTTCGGCGGAGGCAACCGTCCTCCGCTCCGCGTCGGCCGGTTTACGCCTCGCCGTCGTCCATTAAAACCTGACAATGGACACCTCGTCGGGCATTAACCCTTACTTATTTTATTATTGTGTTGTTCGATTTAGAGAGCTTGGTTAATAACTACTCTCTGTGTCATTTTCGAAACTGTTATAACGTAACAAAGCCTTCTGAAATCACTTTTGCTGTTTAATACAGCAAATCTATTTTTCATAAAGGCTTTGAAGCTTCACAAAAGTGCCCATCACTAGCACTACTCCATATGCTGTTGTGACTTTTCGTTGAGAGTTTCTCTCATCTAGACTCTTAAATTGTCTCGAGGTTTGAAACATCTGACAAAACACTCACCGCATAAGCGACACGTCGAGACACTGTTTTGGGGTTGTATGTGTTAGATTTTCCATTAAAAACATGTGGAAATGTGATCTAATATTTATGCGCTATATATCTGTCTTTTGGCCGTCGGGGGTTGAGAGAAACAAAGTGAACACTGGCGTAGTGACAGCCAAACGCTATTGACACTGGCTGAGGAGTGGAGATTTCCTTCACTAACTTACAGAAACACAGAGAGACTGTCGCTCTCGGGATCCAAGACTAAATAAGTCCAGACATATTTTTTATGTATAAAGGGGTTCACAGCAAAGCAAGAAGAGTCATAAAAGGCGAGGACCAGGAACAGATCAGCGTTTCCCAAAAAGGGGCACTGGTGCTCAGTGTGGGTGGCCGTCGCATGGCCTACTTAAACACATCAGGAATCAACATGGGATGTGTGTGGCTTTTAGTGCATGTGTGTTATCTACATGTGTGTGTGTACTGCCAAACATCTGCAGTCTTTCCCTTCAGGTAAAACTAACAAAAACTATAGTTGACTCTACTCTGAGTCTGAACAAAGGGACGTATCCTTTTTTTGTGGTCAAATCTACACCGACAAGCAGTGTTGGGAGTAACGCATTACAAAAGTAATACATTACAGTAACATATTACTTTTTGCTGTAACGCAGTAGTGTAAGGCATTACTAATCAATTTTCAGTAATATTTTACTCGTTACATGTTCAGTGAGGCTTGTATTACAGTTGTATTACAGTGTATTGTCTGCTTTTACTTCTTAAAGGCAACAGACTATGTGAAAGTTTTAAAGCAGTCTTTTAGTGCCAGTTCAGAGCGGTCGCGTCTGTAACATTGTTTTTTCCTCATAAATGCGAACACGAAAACTAAAATAAAACGAATATTTTAAGTACTATGGAGACTGGAAAGCCAACCCTTCCTCATCCGATTTGCGCAGTGTAATTAACAGAATTACGAAAAATCGATTTTGCCTCCTATTTTTTTGTCACGCATGAATGTGTGTCTTTTCCCTAATATTAAAAATAAAACATAGACTGATATTTGTCTAATGTCTGGAGTCCTTTAAGGAAGTAGCCTATATACGTTTCAATACATGTATTTTCTGAGAATTTTTATTTCAAGTTTTGACTGCAAATGTCATCATGTCCATAATGCTGGACTTCCCCAATTTTAAATAATTTATCCTCAACTAGTTTTGTGGTGTAGGTCTACGTATTTTATAATGTTAACTTCAAATAATACTAATAGCCTAATTTAAAGATAAGGCAGCATTGGATATGGACGGTAAGGAGAATAACACTGGAGTTGGAAGAGGTTTGTCGCGATTCTGTAGGTTCGTGGATCTGAGTCGTGTGGCGAATCGCGATTTCGGTTTCATATTGCATATCGTTACAGGCCAAAAGTTAAGTTCTACTTAGTTATTTTGGTGAAAGTAACTCAAAAGTAATACATGAGTAATGTAACGCATTACAATTCTGGGACAGTAATATTGTAAGGTAATGAATTACTTTTAAATAACAGTAACAAGTAATACCTAATGTATTACAGTTTGGAAGTAACTTGCACAACACTGCTGACAAGTAGCAAATCCAACAAAGGCTCATTGGAAAAACGGCAGAAAAACGTCCCTAAGCAAACAATTCACTGCTGACATGAACACTAGTGGCAGTAAAACGGCAATTTATACACTTATTTTTTATACACGAATTATGTATTGATATAGAGACTTGTTTTCGTGAGGATCACTTTTCCCATACATGACTTGTAAACGAACACATTTTGATGTTAGCATCACATCAGCAGCTCCATATATTTGGCTTTTCTCACATCAGCCGCGTTTCTACCAAAATTACCCGGAACAATTTGTCCCAGTAACTTTTTTTCCTCCAGACCTGTTGCTGTCTGCGTTTCCATCGTGGTCTAAAGTACCGAGAAGACTAGGCAACTTAGTCCGGTGACTTCTTTACAGTTCCCGCTGGATTTCATCCTCTGAAGTTAAGCCTAATAAAGCCTAAACCTCGTCGTCGGTCCATCTGTCCTATTTTTTAAACTCCACTGTTGATTCGAATAGGAAACAACTGTTACTGCACGCACCGCAACAGATTAATAAAATGCTGAGTAGAGTCGACCAATGAAAATGCGGCATGAACTCAACCAATCAGCATGTTCAGTGCCCAAGTCCCACCCCTGAAAGTTTCTAAACTTTGAAACCTTGCAATCAGAGACTTTCGGAGCATAGATATCCATAATAAAGGCTGCCGGCGGCCATCTTGTCACAGGCAAGCTTTCTGGCGGGCTCTGTGGTTCCTGATGTAAGATGAGCGATCAACACGAACACAAATGCTCTTATCTCAGTGAAATCTTGACGGATTTACAAACGGCTTGGTTTCTTACAAACGTTATTAACGTGGCTATAATTCTGGATGGTTATTTATTTACACACTTATTATTCATACGTATGCAGTTTCATAACTACATCTTTGACGTTTATAACAAACCAAACCGTTTGAAAATCGGTAGAAAACTGAGCAAGTTATGGTTATTTAAAAAGTACCATTAAAACACAATGTTTACGCGTGAGCGAGCTGACTGTGGCAAGATGGCCGCCAGGTGCGGACGACGACCTCCATTGGCCAGCAGCGCGGACGAGACATCTAGCCTTTATTATGGATATCTATACTTTCGGAGGGGGAAATATTTACCCGGAACTTCATTTGGACCCTGGTTGTACCAGCACAAAGTCCCTAGTTCCTGGGGAAAGTTCCTGAGGTGGAAACGCGGCTATGGTAAACTTGCTCGGTCACTCACCTGCTACAGCAGGTTGTGCAATGAAATTCCCATGAAATTCACAATATATGAGCTCAAAGACAGCTGAAATGCATAGTTGCTTCAGCAAATGCCTTCGTATCGCATGTTTGCTTTTGTTAATGCTGTCAGTCAGGTTTAGGGTGGGGTATAGACAGTGTAAGTATGTCTATAGGTGGTGGTGGTGATGGCACAGTGGATAAGACACACGCCTTTGGTGTGAGAGACCCGGGTTCGAATCCACTGTGAGACACCAATGTGTCCCTGAGCAAGACACTTAACCCCTAGTTGCTCCAGAGGCGTGTGACCTCTGACATATATAGCAATTGTAAGTCGCTTTGGATAAAAGCGAAAGCTAAACGAATAAATGTACATGTAAATGTAAGTACAGCAATGGAGCTCGTCAAGCCATTTCATAGGCTATTCAATTTTAGAAGTGTAAAAAGACTTCTAAATTACTATTTTTTTCAAATATTATTGAAATGTATTATTAATAATATTTAAAAAAAAATACATTTTAGTCTAACAACGTGCATGACAAAATTTCACTTTGAAAACGAAGTTTAATCTGGCGAGAGAAACGGGATATTTTATCTGATTGTGAAAAGAGGGGATTACAAGTGAGAGCAGATTCAAGCGGTTGAGTGGAGAGCTTTAAAAGAGGGATTCATGATGACATCAGCTAAAAAAAAGGAAAGTCGTTTCATATGAACGATAAAAAATTACAAACACATTGTAGATCATTATATAAACTCTTCCATACTGGTACACAAGATAAGACCTTACTGTTAGAAATAACACTTAGTATGGAACAATTTATATCCTTCAGTTGATACATAGCTTTAGCTAAACTCAATTTAAATGATAATTAGGTCATCCAACCATATAAGTGAGGTAGTCCCAAAACCAGGCCATACCACTAAGCTTCAAACTCTCTGTTCCTCACACAATCACATTTTCCACTGAGAGTATCTGTAAGAAGAGCCATGAGTGTCTCTGCCATGTGAGGGAGGATGTGGTGCAGATTTAAATACACACTAGCAGAGAAAGCAGGGAATACTGGCCGTGTTTCTGGGTTCGACAACAATAGCGAGATGCTTGGTATGAATCTTGTCAGCACGTTTTGCAAATCAGTTAAGTAGTTCACTTCTGAAAAACTTTAGCTGATAATTTACTCACCCCCATGTCATCCAAGATGTCCACGTCTTTCTTTCCTCAGTTGAAAAGAAATGAAGGTTTTTGATGAAAACATTCCAGGATTTTCTCCATATAATGGACTTCAATGGGGTCCAAACGGTTTAAGGTCCAAAAGACAGTTTCAGTGCAAATGCAAACTGTTCAAAGGGCTTTAAACGATTCCAGGCGATGAATAAGGGTCTTATCAAGCGAAACGACCACTCATTTAATAAATAAATAACAAAGTTTAAGTTTTATAAGCTCAAATGTTCGCCTTGATCTGTTCTGTGATGTGCGTTTGTGACTCTCCTGTTCGATATAGTTCATCAAAATGAACGAATCTTTTCCAGAGTCATTTGGTTCATTCAATGAACGAAATGATCGAATTCATTCATTTTGATGAACGAGTTCGAACAGGAGAGTCTTTTGGACCTTGAACCGTTTGGACCCCATTGAAGTCCATTATATGGAGAAAAATCCTGGGATGTTTTCATCAAAAACCTTAATTTCTTTTCGACTGAAGAAAGAAAAACATGGCCATCTTGGATGACATGGGGGTGAGTAAATTATCAGCAAGATTTTTGGAAAAGTGAACTACTCCTTTAAAGCTGTCCCTGTGGAAAAGCTTTGAAGTAAATGGGTCCATTTTTGCTGCGCACATCTTTATTTCCAATGCTAAAATGGCAATGCCATGCTGAATAAAAGGCACGCCAACCATTAGCCTTAGTTGTCATGGGTAAATGTGATCATTCATAATGCAGAGACAAGGGAAGATGTTCAATTCCCTAGTTTATACTCTTTCATAGTTGAATGTGTTGTGGTCGTGCAATGAAATCATTAATGTCAGTTGATGCAGCTGCTCTATTGAAACATGCGTCTCTATTCATGCGTCTGTGAGGTCTTCAACAGATGACATCCTGTACAGCGACATTAGCCTTTAGTAAATCACTGAAGAGTTTGTATCTGGCTCTTATTTTGTCCAGATATAAGCCATGACTCAATAGAGCTTTTGTCCCTCCCCGGTTCAGTCAGGCATGAGCAAGGGCTCCAAAAATAAGCACATTTCTGCAAGACCCATGAAAAGAGAAATAAATAGTAGTCCGTTCGCAAGCAGAAAAAGCAGAAGACATGTGCAACGGGGTTAATAAGAACGCATATAGTCAACTGGAAATGGTGTGCATGCTCTATTCTAATTCACGCAGTTCCTTACACAATACTATGTCATCATGACCTCAAAGCACCTTTCCCATTTGTAAACTAACACATTTGTCCTTTTCTCACATTGTAAACTTGCTCGGTTGCTCAGCTGGTACAGCACTACTCTCGTGACGTGAAGCGCTCGGGGACGAGTCCCGTCTCGATAAAAGAGTTGAAGAAGCAGATAATGACATGGTTGCTTCAGAAAGTGGGCTTTTATCTCACGTTTGCTTTTGTTAACTCTATCGGTTATAGGTTCTGTGTTATTATCAAACGCGATACTTACTGGACATTTTATTTCCGAACTGCCGTGATACATACACCATAAAAAAATTATTCAGTTGTAAATGAAACATTGTTGTATGTTGTGTGTTACATGTTTTACAAATCTATTTCAGTCTTTTTTTTTCGGTTTCTTGTAATTAATTGTACCATTTCAGAGTGAAAATCGTACTCCATTTTTTTCAGTGTACCACTACCAATGTAATAAACCAGTCAGATTCATGTTTTTCTGTTTTGAATTAAACTGAACATGCTTGTAGCGCCACTCATCTCTTTTAAAGTATCGTGTAACATGCAAAAAGCAATGTGATATCATTTTGGACAAATGTCGCCGCATTTTTCCAATGGGCCTGAGTTTATGATGTAATGATAGTTAAAAAAAAAATAATCATGTTTCATAGAATAGTTGTTTCCATTATATTTTTTTAAAACTAGGGAAGCACAAAATATACATTGCTTAACTTAAACTTCTGCTGGCAAACTGTAAAAAAAAAAGCATTAAACTAAGTTAAAAATGAGTTTTATACTCTTATAACTTAAAATATATATACATATATATATTTTGATGAGTTAAAGCAGCGGTTCTCAAACATTTTGGTGCCAGGGACCCCTTTCAGGGGAAAAAAAATTCCAAGGACCCCCCTCATATTTATAACAGTTATTGAGCACAAAGTTAATGTGTGAGCGGCAAATGAAATATTTTTGCACAAAATGAATGGTCTCCACCCAGGGTACTATGCAGGAATTTCTAAATAGCCTACTGAGATAACGAAAGTGATCTTGCTAGGAATCACTTAGGATCCCTCACTTAGGAATTTTTGATGTTCTTGATCTACACATGTGCATTTTAAGGTGTTTTAAGGCCCCACAATTGGATAACTATAGATTTAGTAGAAGCATGTCAGTCAGTGGCATACATTTTTTTTTTTTTTGTCAAGATGTCACGAAACACAATCACATATTCCAATCAGGAATGGCCTTAAAAGAGAAATGTTTCAATAATTAGGCCTATTCTGCACACAAATAAAACCCATAAGCCTATAAATACAATGATAATGGCATTATGTTTAATAGGTGCGTGCGTTGTTAATTTGAGCTACTGTAATTAGCTAAAAAAACATACAGTATATGTTAAATATATGAATCCATAAATGTTAATCTCATGGGCACAGTATGTTTCTATTGACCTGCTTTTTCCTTTGTTAAAGTTGAGCTTGATTAATAATTTGCAAACTGATTGTTTCAGTCGTTTTTTAAAACTTTTATCTAAAACAGCTGTTTAGTTTATGTTAATTTAGGCATACATCTTATCTCGCACTTTATGACCGTTGACTGAAACGTCGTGCGGGGAACTTTGAGTTCACTCCGACTCAAACATTTTGACATTGACGAGCTATCGTTGTTAGTCTGCTGAAGCACCTCAGACGAGAAGGTCCGTTATCATCGCGATGTGCATCCTTGCAACCTCAGTTGTGGGTACGGCCCTGTCACTATGCACTTTTATTTTGATAATGATCAGACTTCTAATGTCAAATCTACAGTAGCAGTGCTAGAACTGACTATTGTGCGCGCACGCGAGATGCCGGCGCGCAATTACATGGGAATTTTTCCTCAGCAGTGGAAACAGGAATACTCTTATTTATGGTCATAGATAAGACAAGAGTGCATCATCCGAAACGGTAAAGTGTCCATTTTTTTTATTTGTGTATAGGCTACATTATAAATGACTACAAAATGTCATGCCTTTTAAAAATACAGAAAAGAACCGGATGCGGGTTCATGCCGTCTCTCTGTCTCCTTTCTGGCGCACGTCCCGCAAAATCAACAGCAGCGAATAGTCTACTTGACGCAAAGACATAGATTATCTATCTATAGAAAACTTTAAGTGTCTACTTTGTATTGTTTTATGTTAAATGCTTTATATAAGTTACTTAGGAATAAACAGCATGTTTTCAGATGATAAAGAAAACATGACTCATAGCATGGAAAAAAACGTTAGGTTGTAAATTATTTCGCGGACCCCCTGGCTTTAGCTCGCGGACCACCAGGGGTCCGCGGACCCCACTTTGAGAACCACTGAGTTAAAGCAATGTAAAAATATATGTTGTCATAACTTATTGATCATTGTTTACAGTGCAGAACCAAGTGTGCTGCACAAGCCCTCAAAAGTGAATCCAAAACGTCTCGATCGCCCCCCAGTGGCCGGTCCTAGTATAGGTCATAAACCCCGCCTCCCTGTGTTATTCAACGGGACGTGAGACCAACTAAACAATTAAATTACACTTCACATATCCTTTTTCCAAAGATAGTTTCTGTCATGTACTGTAGTTTCTGTCACGTTGAAGTAATTTCAAGAGTTTGTTTTTAAAATAAGTAAATTTTTAGTTAGTTATTTGATGCTATAAACAGTGCTGTGACATCATGATTGACAGCTGTGATTGACAGGTTCTCTGTGCGACTTTTTTTTATAATGTTGCCTATGTGGTTAGTAGTTGTATTTAAGTTATTTTAATGAGGTACTGCAATCAGCAGACACCAGGCGAGAGTGAGGGCGGGGCCTTGATTTCGCGGCTTTACTTCCTGCTTGCGACTGCGCATGTCTGGTCCCGAAAACGCAGGTGTCGAGATGTCAGCGCCATATCGAGACACTGGCGGCTTCAGAGCGAAGTCTATGTGCAGAACACACAGGTTCAATTCAACTCATTTGATTCAAGAGAGTCAAATGAGCTCTTTAGTGGTCTGTTGCTCACCCAGACATGCGGCTAAACGTCCTCAGTAGCCGAGGTGGCTGTGTTTGTTCGGCCTGCTAGTCTTTCTGTCGTCAGCTGTCGTGGTTTCGAGTATTTCAGGGCGTCACAGTGGGTGTTAGCCACCATGAGCCAGGACCATATCCAGAGAGAGGGAAAGCCTCGCTGCTGTCATCCCACACACATCTTCCCCTGCAATTTACTTGATTTAACTGCATGTTTCATGTAATTATGAAGGTCTGGAGCCACCGTGATGAGTGTGCAATTCTCTCTTCTTCCTCTCGCAGTCCATGTTCTCCCAGCAGCCGGCCGACCAAAGGAGGAACTGTGGAGTCTGTTTGAAGGTAAGCCACAAAACTGTTCAGACATCTTCTCTTGAACCAAAAAACTCACTAAACACGTTCTTTCAGATGCAGCAAATAATCTTATAGAGATAGAAGGAATGACGGCTTTCCTTAAAGGAGAACTACGGTCAATTTTAACATTGAGCTCATTTTTTTTGTACATTTGAAGTGCTGTCAGTACAGACAAAAACGTCAAAAATCAGTGTTGCCTACACCGTGTTTTTAAAATTCGCACCCTGTTGACTTCAATGGGGCAAGCTCTAAACCTGCTTTTAGCCTCTTAACATCCTTCATTTGTCATTACGAGTGCACAGCCATGTGAGTGGTGTTATTAAGTCATGAACGTCATGAGCTATCCAGTCATTATATAGATCAGTGGTCCCACACTGAAGCCGCCTTTCCACTGCACACGACAAACGACCGCCGTCGGACCGGAAGTCATTCATTTCCAATGGAGAGTCGTACGGGAGCTACGGGGAGTTCCGATCATATGCGTGTGCGGAAAATTCTGATCCGATTTGAGCTTTGGATCCGTTGAAATAATAGACCGTATGCGACCGGCCAACCGGAAGTGATGTATTCTAATAAAAACTATGAGTGCGAGGCTAGAATTACAAATATTTTAACTCTTTAATGTTTTTCTGTAAACACTCTTTCTGTAAAATATTGGTTATAATTAACTATAGCAGAAAAAATATTTTATAATTATTAAATCAATATGTTAATTAGCTCTATAAAATGTACTATGTTTTTATTTGAGATGTATTGAGGGTCATTTGTTTTGTGTAGATATTTATGCATGCATTACATTCATTAAAATCATTAATTTTACCATTGTGAATATCCGAGGGTAACGGTTGCTTCACGACCAAATTCAAAGTTCCGTGCAAAATTTTCGTATGCGTTTTTCCGTATTCGTGATTCGGTGGCTCTGAATTGTCAAAACACCATTCAAACTGCTTGCTACGGATGCGAAAAACGCAGAAAATCGATCTCGATTCGATTTTTTTTTATGACGGACGAAAGTTTTGGAGGCAGTGTGCAAGCGTGATTGACGTAACGTGAGGTCGTATTTATTTTTTAACCTACGAAAATTTCGGACTATACTTGTTAAGCCACTGATTTGCCGTCCCCTACAGGCAGTTCATTAGTACAATTTCATTTTCGCTGAGGGACTAAGACTGAATGCTGTTTTTGTTTTCGTTAGTGATTGTAACATTTATAAATAGTCTATTAAGAGCAAAATATGAGATAAAGTATCTGAGATAATGTCTTTAGTTTCCCCTCGGACTGACATAGTTCCTTAATAGGTCACTAATTTCTGATAGTGAAACCTCTACATATGCATATCCAATAAGTTCAGCCGCAAAAATAACCCTGTCCACGCCTTTCAGCGCTAATTTTTCACTGCGTGTCTTTAGTAAATTCTGAGAGTCGTTTTAACGCCAAAGAGGGTTTGCGCTGGAGCAAGCGGTTAATAAATCTGCCCTAAACCTGTTTAGAAAACAACACAAAAAAGAAAACACTGATGAAAGATGTAAGGTAAATGACTGAATTTTTACTTTACAGTCCCTCCAGAAAAACGCGATTATGCGATCGCTGAATTCAATGCAAAATCAGCCAAAGTCCGCATATTTATGCGGGGCCGCATTTTTTCAAATACGCCTCACTTTCGCCGCATAAATTGCCGATTTCCGTGCAAAATATGCGGGGTTTGCATAATTTCATAATCCTCGCATTTTCGTTGCTAAAAAAAGTCACATGTATCTTAGCAGAAAGTTGAAAAATGTTGCGTTTGCTTCACATAAGAGCAGCCATTTCCCCCTGTTTCCATGGGAACGTTATGAAGTGACGCAATTACGCGACGCCAGACAGACTCACGGAGGCGATTGACATCTCACAAATCGAACTCGTATAACTGTCTGTCGAACGTTCTACTGTCACATTGTTACTTAATAAACAACATAAGATAAAAGTAGTATCATCAAACAGAAATTACCCGCACACATGGGCTGTTCGACAGTTCAACAGGGAGCGCGCAGCTCTTAAAGGGGCCACACCTTATTTACACTCTTACAGTCTGAAATAAAACAAGATGAGAAATTAAATATTCCCAGCACTTTCTATGATGTAGTATTCTTGTTTATCAAAGGAAGTAATAAGAAATGACTCTTATATTAACAGGATGTTGGGGGAATCACTTTTTTTCTCTTTTTCATCAAACCGCAATTTTTGCAAGTTCCCTCAATTTTTGTAAATTCCAGCAATTTCATCGCATAAAATTGCATAAATATCCCGCATATTCCATCGCATTTTTAAAGAAAACGGGCCGCATAATCAATCAATTTTTGCCCGCAACAATCACAAAAAAAAAACTCTGTGTTTTTCTGGAAGGACTGAATACTATTATGGTAAATGTTAAATATTAATCGCAAATTTTTTCACAAATTTTTGGAAATTACCACCACAAAATCAGTCATTTTGATCGCAAAAATCACAAAAAAAATCGTGAAATCCTGGAGGGACTGACTTTAGCTGAAATTTAGTTAATCCTTCTTTCTCTCTTTCTTTTTTTTTGTTTTTTTTTGCTCGTTATTGCCAGGATATGGATAATACAGAAAGATTACACAGAATGTTGTGGATGTACAGAGTGCATGTATTCGACTACATGAAGTGTTGTTTCCCTTGTGTTTCAGATGTGTATCTGTGTGCTGTGCTGGTGTGTTGTGTCGGGCTCTTGTGCATGTGCATGTTCACTATAGCTGTGAGCTGTCAGTATCTGCAGAGGAAGAGACGATTAAAAGGTAGGATTCTTGCTGTTGTTGATATCTGATAAACAATTAATGTGCATGTTAATCATGCTCCTCGTCATGCAATATGCTCATTGACATTTTTTCATATGCTCCTTTTTGTTAGAAAACTATCATTTGGTCAAGAGCCCGCAAAACAGGTGAGAAAATATGAAAAGATGAGTCAAGTCAAATCTATTGGTGTAGTGCTTGTCTCAACACAAGCAAGCAGATTTACAAAAAAATCAATATCTTCATGCCTTATAGTTGTATATAGCAGAATAGAGTACAATAATATAGTACATATTTTGTGACGATATAACCAATCATGCAGTTGTATACATATAGTACATATTACCCTACAAGAGTTACTGTATGCGGAAAAAGTTGGACATGCTGCTTATATGCAACTTTATATAGATAGCTGTGTGATAAGACAATATACACTCTAAAAATGATGGGTTGTTTTGAGCCAACTTTGGGTCAAATATGGACAAACTCAAACGTTGGGTTAAAAATGTAATTAAAAAATGTAACCCAATGGCTGGGTTTGTCTGCTGGGTTGAAACAACCCAGCAATTTCTAGAGTGTAATACAATATAAACAATCACACAGCTGAGATTTGCTATTTATTGCTTTACGGCTGTATTTATGCAGGTAAAAGACAAAAATAAAATAAAATAAAATGGGTAAAATATGGACAAACCCAAACTTTGGGTTAAAAATGTCATATCAAATGTTAACCCAATTACTGGGTTTGTCAACATTTGGTCCAAATTTGGGCTGAAATAACCCAGCATTTTTAGAGTGCAGGAAAAATGGGAACAAAACACTACAAAATAAAAGTCCATAAAACAATTAACAATAACAAACGTCTGCCAATGGGGTAAATAAAGAAACAGATTTTCCTTTTAAAATTAAGTTTATTTTTCTTATCCTATTGGCAGACATTTTTTTCTACACTACCTAAAGTAATCTTGTTTTAAGAATGTTTAGATATTTCTACTGGGAAAGTAAAAAAAAAAATACTTATTTTGCAGTTTACACTCTAAACAATGCTGCGTTGTTTTAATCCAAATTTGAGTGAAATATGGACAAACATAAAAGTTGGGTTAAAAATGTAATTTAAAATTTTAACCCAACTTCATCTTTCACTTTCAACCGTAATTTTTTTCATTACATTTTTAACCCAACATTTAGGTTTGTCCATATTTGAGCCAAATTTGGCAGTGTAGGATTTACTATATATATTCACCTTACAATATCACTGGGTGATGATATAGTTTACATTTTTCTATGAAATAAAAATGAAGGAGGGCAACCTTCCTCAGAAACTGAGAGTGTGTCCATGTTTGTCCAGTTCAGGGGAGACGGTCACTAGTGTGGTCAGTCTGTCTCCAGCTCTTCCCAAGAAGGTGAGAAAGTACAAGAAAAATAAAAGTGTTGAGCAGCCAGATGTGCCACCGGAGATACCGGCTAAAGGTAGAGTGAAATTACTGACCTCTACATGTCACTGACGTGCAGACTGTGAATCTCAGTTTAATAACTACAATATTACATCTCAGCCCCTATTGCAGACAAAATGCGAAAGCCAAAGCTTTTAAAACCTCAACCCAGAAAAGTGGCTTTGGTAAGTTACTTTTGTGAAATACATAGAAGTTTGGTATTTGTATTGCCAAAACTGCCATGTTTAATATTTTATAAGCGAGCTGTAACTCCTCCACTGTTGTCCCGTCTCCCGACAGCCCAAAATTGCAGAGGAGAGTCTGACGTACGCCGAGCTTGAACTGATAAAGCCGCTGCCTGAAGTCAAAGCGGCAAACACAGGAACGGTGTACGCGCAGATATTCTTCCAGGACAGGCATGTGTAGCATTATATTTTCTTGAAACATTATTTATAATAACACAATGTTTGATTTTTTAAATACTTTAACCTCTGGTGAACTGTACATATTGTATATGTATATTCTTTACTTTTTTTTCCATATGTTGATACAAGTTTAGTAGCAAATCCAAAATACACAAGAAATTATTGTAATCTGAAAACTGCAAACTGTAACTAAAAAGGTGTATAAAAGCCAAGTAGTCTTGAGGGCGGGATCTGTTTATGAAAAACCATTCTGTTATTTTTTTAACCACTGTCGACTGACGTGCAAAAGAAAAACCTACACTACAAATAAATTTGCTGGAAATTGGACTCCTATCGGTTAATAAATGAATAATTTTAAGGAAATTTGCACAAAACACTTATAGCCACAAAATATAATTTTTGGGTTCATTACAAATTCATCTTTATGCACATCTTCTGTGTCCTGCAGTTGATGTATTTGTGCTTCTATTAAAGTGCCGATTATGCTTTTTTAAAGGTCGCTAATGTTGTTCTGGAGTGGTTTAGGTCATCCAACAAAACACACGAACAGCACAAACCAAACCCAGTCTCAGATAAACTACAGTGTTTGAGGGCGGAGCAATGCAAATCCTGTTCAGCGGCAGCCAATGAGAACCATAGACTGGCATTATGCAAATCTGCTCTATTGTTACGTGTGTAATGGTGCATTCACACCGGACGTGAATAGCGCGTCAGGCACAAGTGATTTCAATGTTAAGTCAATGCAAAGAAGCGTTACACGCAAAAGAAATTCATGAAAGATTTCCCGTTTTTAGTTAAAGTGTCGTGTAAACAGCCCTTTACTCAGTACTTTTTTTCCTTTTCCACTAAAATATCTAAACAGAATACAAGATACATTAACTTAAGAACTAAATGATATAAAATAGACCAAGTCTTGCTTTCTGGAAAATGTATGAAAATTTCAAGTTCAAGCTAAAAAGTAGGGAAAAACTAGTTTTGTTTTTTTGACCTCATTTTCAGATATTTTTAAAGCTTAAATTCAATTCATGTTTTATAATTTAAAAAAAGTAAGAAAACAAGACTTAATATCCTTCAGCTTTTCTTGATTTAAAGGAGTAGTTCACTTTAAAAAAAAAACTTTTGCTGATAATTTACTCACCCCCATGATGTCATCCAAGATGTCCATGTTTTGCTTTCTTCAGTCGAAAAGAAATTAAGGTTTTTGCCTTAATTGGCAAAAAACGCCTTGCTCTGTTCTGCGATGCACGTTCGTGACTCTCCTGTTCGAACAAATCTTTTTCCGAATCAATTTGTTCATTTCGTTCGTTGAATTAACCAAATGACTCGAGAGATAAATGATAAACGAGCAGAGCAAGGCGAGCATTTGAGCTTATAAAACTTAAACTTTGTTATTTATTTATTAAATGAGTGATCGTTTCGCTTGATAAGACCCTTATTCGTCATCTGGAATCGTTTAAAGCCCTTTGAACAGTTTGCAGTTTGTACTGAAAGTGTCTTTGGACCTTGAACCGTTTGGACCCCATTGAAGTCCATTATATGGAGAAAATCCTGGACTGTTTTCATCAAAAACCTTAATTTCTTTTCGACTGAGGAAAGAAAGACACGGACATCTTGGATGACATGGGGGCGAGTAAATTATCAGCAAAAGTTTTTTTCAAAAGTGAACTACTCCTTTAAGAATGTCTGGATATTTGTACTGGAAACCAAGACAAATGTACAGCGTAAGGGTTTGTTGTTTGCTGTTATTTTGCAGTGTAAATACTGTATATAACTGTTAATGTGAATGAGGACTCCAGATTATTTCTGTGGTCATGGAAAGCAAGCCACAGAAGCTCAACTTACATTGAACCCAGAAAATGTCTTTAAATCTGTTGAAATGTTCAAGCCTGTTTGTTTTTCCTTTTCTTTTTTTATGACTTCTTTTTTTAAATGGAGGAATGTTTTGGATTTAATAATGGAAACGCTAATGAAATATCAGGGCGTACCCATATCTGGAACAGACATACAGGCACCGCTGATTCGACCCATTCACTGTCCGTCTGAGTCTTTAAGAACAAATAAGACAGTCTCTCACCCCCAAGGGTTTTCGACACCATCACAGACTTTAAATGTGTAATAAGTTCTTTAACTGTGAAATGTAAAGGGTCGTATGAGATCCCACTGCCTTCACCACTAACAAGAACCATCTGTGAATGACGTAGACCCTCTGTTTATCTCTTCCGTTTGTAAGTGTACTGTAAATTAAACATGTTTATGTGAAAGAACAAACTAAAACTCTTAATGCTTTTACTGTGTGCATCATTTGCAAACTCTGTATCTAAAGAAAAGAGTCGTGTTCAGTTTCTGAGAGGGTTCGTGTGTGAACTGTGATTTGTGGGATCGCATGAGGCAAATTTTCACATGTGTTTGTGTTTAAATGGGAGGTCTCGTTCAGAAGTCAAGAAAGCAGTGTGGAGAGAAATACGTATGTGTAGTCCTTTCATATTAATATAATTGTAAATCAGAAAGTGTCGAGCCGTGATATTTCATGCTGTCTCTTACTATTCCTGTTGACTATTGCAGTCTTAAAGGGATAGTAGATAAGTTCACCCAAAAATGTTGACATACTTACTCTCAAAACCTATATTAAATGTTTTATTTTGAATATTTTGAAGAATCTTTTAAAAACAATTTTGGACCCCATTGACTTTCACTGAATAAAAAGAATCTTCAAATCAATCATGCCTTATAGTCACAGATTAAGTGACAATCTAAGCAATTAAGCAGTTGAGATGTGTTATTTAATATAATTGCCTACACAAACTGTTTGTATGTCGATGAAGTTAGACACTTATATATCCAACTTTACATAAAGGGCTGGGCGATAATTCAGTTACATTTCGTGACAAAATAACTAGGCCTGTCAAACGATTAATCACGATTAATCGCAAACAAAATAAGTTTGTGTTAAAATAAAAAAATAAGTATATGTGGGTACACTGTGTATAATTATTTTATATATATAAATACACACACATGCTTGTACTGTATATATTTAAGAATATATAGATTTATTTAGAATGTATATTATATATAATTATAAATATTTTATATATAAATAATATTTTTTTTCTTAAACATACATGCATGTGTGTGTATTTATATATATATATATATATATACAAAATAATTATAAACAGTGCACCCACATATATTATTTAAACACAAACTTTTATTTTAGATGCGATTAATCGCGATTAATCGTTTGACAGCCCTAAAATTAACTTCTACAGAATAATTATTATTAATAATAATTCAGTTCTACAGAATAAAGAATTTCGTACTGGTTTGGAGGGTGAATAAATGACGACAGAATTGACATTAATGGGTGAACTATCCCTTTAACACTGCTAACAAAAGAGCAATGCCAGTGTATACACACCATCAATTATAGTCATAGTCATACATGCAAACAATATTTTGCTGACTGCAACCTGTGATTTACACACAACACAATTCGAGTTTGTTGAAATTTGTAACAGTCATGCGTCAATATTTCACCAGTTGAGGGATAAAAACAGCTTGTGTTGCTTTAACATGACCTAAATAAACCTAAAATAAGTCTGGGGAGACACGCCAAAACCAGTGAAACGTTATACTAAAAGTAGACACGGTTTAAATTAACTCATAAAAGAAAGGTTTCCATTTTTGACCATGGGATGAGTCTCAGACACGATTCTTTGAACGGGATCCAGGTAAACATTTATAAAGCAGGTCAACTGAGGTCTGAGCAAAAACCACATCCTAGACTCAAACAAACGTCCATTTGCCAGTTTTCCAGACACCATCTTCGAGCTTATAACACACCTTAAAAAAAAGTGTAACGGATAATACAAGACAGAGCTAAATCTGGGCTATTACTAAACAGGAAAGGGCGAATTCATAAAACCTGAAGTCACGTCAGTTATGAAGTGTGTGATTACACAAGGTGAGGGAAATCGTAACATATTAAGTCTTGCTTCCTGAAACAAATTAAAAATGCCTCTTTGAATTAAGTTCATGCAATTTTGCTAGTGATTTGGTGGTGGTTTATCCTTAATAATCCAGTTGAGTAAAATACATGTAATGAAAACTAGTAACTTCTGTGCAAGACTTATCTTCTGTGCAAATGATTATGTGAAAATAAAATATACATTTATTTATTTATTTATTTGTTTGTTACAAGGACAGTGCATATTAACATGGCAAGTCAAAATATGCCAGAGTTAGCCAAATGGCTAGTTTTCATTTAAATTAAAACAAGTCCTTACATACCACATATCTAAATATACCGGAATTTGTATTTAGGGCAGCTTTTACTTTCTTAAAGATTTGACCTGCTCCTGGTGGATGAAAAAAAATCTGCATGACAAGATTTGTACATTTGTAATTACTTTCCCATCATTAACTGTTGCCAGCAAGCTTCATTTCCAACGCATTCTCATCCCAAAGCACCATATACAGCGCTTTTGCAAAAGCGTAAATATCCAACGCACATGGCACCCTTTAACGTCTAATGAGACGCTTCGGTTATAGTTAAGTTTAGGTATGGTGTAGGGTAAGGGTTAGACCACTAGGGGGCGCCTTCTGCCCAAATATATCTGCGACTCATTTCACGTTAAAGGGTGCCATGTGCGTTGGATATTTACGCTTTTGCAAAAGCGTCCTATATGCCGCTTTGGGATGAGAACGGGCTCTCATTTCCCAGTGGACACAATCACAAATCTCCAGTGTCCCATCATCACTGATCATCAACTGGAGACGACACAGAATGAGCCGGAGAAAACAAGAGGGTGTCGGGCTTCTCAGAAACCAGATCCTTGCGTGTGTGTGTAAGTGTGAAGCAGCGGTGTGTGAGGAAGCTCTGAAACGTCCCTTAGATCACCTTTCCCACACATGCACTTTGCTGATGGTCTTTTGGAGAGGAAATTAATGTTTAATTTAGCGACAGATGCACTAAAGCGTCTGAAGAAACACTAACCCAAAAAAATAATAATAGATTGTTATAGTTTTAATGCTCAAAAATGCATGATTATAATTGAATTGTGCAATCTGCATTCATCAGTAGCCAAAATAACACAATACAAATGCAACAGTAAATGTTTTGTTGGTCCTGGAGCAAATAAACACAGACATTATTTCAAACCCTAACCAGTACGTTGATCGGGGAACACGCCCTTCTCAGCAGAACGACACGCGTCCTTAGCTAAATGAGGGGATATACTGTATATGATGCATCCAGACCAGCCGTCACCGTATCAGATGACCTAGATCTGACCTGCGGGTGACCTGAGGTGAAGGCTGACCATTAGTCACACTCAATGTACTTTGCATTTTGATGAAAAGATGGATTAAGTGAGTCATAAGTCACCTAGCAAACTTTACTAATGAACTCAGAGTTAAAAGTTTGAGGTGGTAAAAAAAACAACAAGCAAAGTTGCAGTTTAAAACAAAGACTTTGGCAATTACAATTATATTCGAGTGATTTGCAAGTAAAATTTCAATGCAAAAAAAGTAAAAATTTCAATGCATGCATGATCACAGGTGCATGCTTCTGAAATATTGTTGCATGCATCATCAATCGGGTAAATAAACATCAAGGCAAAATGCAATGACAAATGTAGTGATATTTTTGCATGACTGTAAGTCACAAGACTCACAACTCACCTAGACATCCATGACTCGGAAATTAAAGATTGAGGTGAAGAAAAATAAGCAAATCTGCCATTTAAAACAAGACTTTAAGGCCGGATTCACAGGCAGGGCTTAGAGTAGACTAAGCCAGGATTAGGCCTTAGTTCAATTAGGGCATTTAAGTAGCTTTTATAAACGTGCCTTATAGAAAAAAAAAACATTACTAACGTGCATCTTGAGACAAAACAATGGCACTGACACATTTTAAGGTCTGTCTGTGCACGTTTCTTTCAGTAACACAGCTCTAACATGCATTGACATTGAGTCAGGGACACGTTTAAGCCTTGAGGGGGTTAAAGATGAAGTACATCTCATCTGGGTCATATTAGGCTACATTTATAAATTGTATTTCAAGTAATTTGCAAAACAAATGTTTGTTTGTTTTTTTAGTGAAAGTAGTGAAATACCGATGCAAGTTGCATAATCTCTCATGAAAATACGTTTGCATCATCAATCAGATAAATGAGCATCACAGAAGTTTACTGCCCCCTCTTGGTGGTAAAATGCAATGGCACGTGTAGTGATATTTTGCGACTGTGAAATGTGATACTTAACAGGTCAAAAATAAATCTAGTTTGGATTCATACTGTCATATATATAATATTCCACGTATGACGATACTCTGGCATACCTGTTTTATCCACTTACTGTAAAATATAGGTCATAGCTTACTACACTCTAAAAAAATGCTGGGTTATTTTAACCCAATTTTGGGTCAAATATGGACAAACCCAGGTGTTGGGTTAATTTTATAAATTGCATTTTTTAATCCAACAATTGGGTTTGTCCATATTCGACCCAAACTTGGGTTAAAACAACCCAGCATGTTTTAGAGTGTATGTAAAATGACCAGACTACTGTACAAACTAACAAAATGAATTAAATAAAACTGATGACGTCTCTGTGTATGTATGAAATATTAAAAATAGTTAAAATAGTTTAACTATTTAGTGCTGGTCTCAAAGTGAAAACCAGAAAGGGATCAAATATTATGTAACAATAGCATGCATACCTACAGTACTGACAGTTATGCACACATCTAATAAGAAAACAAGCTCAGCAAGCCTACAACAAAGCAATAAAAGCAGCAGGCGGAACGACACATCTCTGTTGCCTGGAGATGGAGCAACACAACGCCATGGTTTCAGACTCCACAAGCAGTGCTCTTTACTCAGAGGAAATGAGGTGAGTCACGCTTACCCTGCTGGTTTTTACTTACAGGGTTTCGGAGAGAAGCTTGTGCATTATTCACATGGACGGATCCTTGACGCAGACGGCCTGTAATGAAGTGCACACATCACATGCTGTAGTGTCGTCGGAGACTTCCAGACGGGACTGTCTTCGGCTCTAAACTGCTCCGAGAGAAAGAGATACAATCACAGCAGGTAAGAAGCACGATTTCTCTAGTAATGTTGCCGTTTTGAACACTGTTTAGCTAGCTATATATATTAACCCTTGTGCTGCATTAGATTTTTAACACCGTTGAGTGCATTAAGGACCAAAAATGGCCACATATTAAACATTGCCTAAAATATTATATATTATTATTATTTTCCACTTTTACCAAGTTAAATCTTTTAACCAGCATCAGTCCTCATCATAACTACCAAAAATGTATTCAATTTCAGGATTTTAACCCTTTAATTACCAGTTTTGTTTGCGAAACCATCGATTTGTATAAGAGGAAAAAACACAAAAATTCAATTATTTTCAATAAACTAAATGCAAAGAGAAAACTTTAGATTTGGATTATCACAGTCCCACTTTGCAAAAAATCCCACTTAGCGCGTTAGAGACCAAAAATGGCCACCTATTAAACATTGCCTATTGCCTAAAATAAGGTGCATTTCCACCCATAGGGAGGGAATAAATATGTAGTGACGTCATCTGGTGGAATACACTATATAATGCAAATATAATGCTTTTGCTTCAAAATGAAAGGATGTTTGTGCAAAAATCATGTTTCATGTATTACTGACAGCCTCAGATTTAAACAACGTTTGAATGGGTTTCAATGGGCCATTTTTGGTCTTTATGGTGCTGAGTGTTACTATTTGATCTACACAGTGTGTGTTATACATATTTTGCAAAATGGGATCACATTTTTCACATGTATCCAAAAAGTCACAATTTTGCCAAATTTCATACCATTTGCATTAAAACAGCCAAAATGGTCAAAGAAATTAAACTGCAAAAGACCAAAAATGTCCCTAATGCAGCATAATGGTTAAAGGGTTAGTTCACCCAAAAATGAAAATTAAGTCATTAATTACTCATCCCCATGCTGTACCAACCCCGTAAGACCTTCGTTCATCTTCGGAACACAAATAAAGATATTTTTGATTGAATCTGAGAGCTGGATCAGTCCTACATAGACTGCCTAAGGGACTGGCTCTTGACGGCCCATAAAGTCATTAAAGAAAAGGTTTAAATATTCCATGTGCCTACAGCGGCTCAATTATAAGTTTATCAAGCGACGAGACTACTTTAATTTGATATTTGTTAAAATATAATAATATATTTGAATGTTTAATGATTTTTAAAAGATAGAAAGATGATGATAGATACAATATGATTCAAATGTATATAGATAGGATTGTATATAATTCAAATGTAAAATGCTTAAAATTACAGATTAAAATTACTGTCCAAAATCCATGAAAATCTTGAAATTTGGCAATGATAATTAATATATTACGGGTGTATATATCAATATATTATGCTGCAACCGAGAAAGCCTTCGCTAGCTTTGGTCTGCAACTTTGCAGAAACAGCAACATTACACACTATTTAAAATGAAAAAAGTGAAATCGCAATCAACCCACTAATTATTGTTATTAAGTTGGCACAATGAGCTGTGTGGTGGCATACTAAGAAACACATTGGCCTTTTGATTTGGGCAGCGTTTCATTTCATTAGACAAAGCGCTCGTCTGTCCTTCAGGAGCAGCACTGATGCGTGACAGTCACCTCTATCAGACACACTCACACACTTTGTCCCAATAAGTAGCGAGTCTCCAGGGACTTTCAGCTTGTGTATTTACACAAGGAAACCGTCAACATTGCATAACGTTGCTACCCACCGTGACTGATTGATTGGAATTTCACGTTTGCCCTTAGCATATTGCTAAGGTAACAATAAGAATAAGCTTAAATAAATAAAACAAGACTCTTAAGATATACAGTTGTGCCCAGAATTAATCATACCCCTGCATGGTAAATATGATAAAAAATGGCTGTAAAAAAATAAATCCGCATCGTTTATCCTTTTGATCTTTCATTCATACCAAAAAATTGGCAAAATCCTAACCTTCCTGTGAAGTAAAAGAATTGAAAGTGGGGGTAAATCACATTATAAAATAAATGTTTTGCTCCAAAACACGTTGGCCACAATTATTCATACCCTTTTATTAGATACATTTTTGCCAAGATAACTGCTCTGAGTTTTCTGCTATAATGCCTGATGAGTTTGCCTCCAAACAGAATCTCTCCAGATCCTTCAGATTCCCAGATCCATGCTGGTGCTTCTTCTCTTCAGTTCAGACCACTCATTTTCTATATGGTTCAGGTCAGGGTCTGGGACGGTCATGGCAGAAACTTCATTTTGTGCTCCCTAACACATTTTTGTGTTGATTTTGATGTTTGTTTTGGATCTTTGTCCTGTTGGAAGATGCAACCACGGCCTTTTTTAAATGTTGATATTTGATACAATGTGACTTTATATCTCACAATTGCCACTTTATTTCTCAGAATTGCGACTTTATATCTCGCAATTGCAACTTTATTTCTCAGAATTGCGACTTTATATCTCACAATTGCAACTTTATTTCTCAGAATTGCGACTTTATATCTCGCAATTGCCACTTTATTTCTCAGAATTGCGACTTTATATCTCACAATTGCCACTTTATTTCTCAGAATTGCGACTTTATATCTCACAATTGCACTTTATTTCTCAGAATTGCGACTTTATATCTCACAATTGCGACTTTATTTCTCAGAATTGCGACTTTATATCTCGCAATTGCGATTTTATTTCTCAGAATTGCGACTTTATATCTCACAATTGCGACTTTATTTCTCAGAATTGCAACTTTATTTCTCACAATTGCGACTTTATTTCTCAGAACTGTGACTTTATTTCTCGCAATTGCCACTTTATTTCTCAGAATTGCGACTTTATATCTCACAATTGCCACTTTATTTCTCAGAATTGCGACTTTATATCTCACAATTGCGACTTTATTTCTCAGAATTGCGACTTTATATCTCACAATTGCCAACTTTATTTCTCAGAATTGCGACTTTATATCTCACAATTGCGACTTTATTTCTCAGAATTGCGACTATATCTCACAATTGCCACTTTATTTCTCAGAATTGCGACTTTATATCTCACAATTGCGACTTTATTTCTCAGAATTGCGACTTTATATCTCACAATTGCGACTTTATTTCTCAGAACTGTGACTTTATTTCTCAGAATTGCGACTTTATATCTCGCAATTGCGACTTTATTTCTCAGAATTGCGACTTTATATCTCACAATTGCGACTTTATTTCTCAGAATTGCGACTTTATATCTCACAATTGCAACTTTAGTTCTCAGAATTGTGACTTTATATCTCAAAAATTGCGACTTTATTTCTCAGAATTGCGACTTTATATCTCACAATTGCGACTTTATTTCTCAGAATTGCGACTTTATATCTCACAATTGCCACTTTATTTCTCAGAATTGCGACTTTATATCTCACAATTGCGACTTTATTTCTCAGAACTGTGACTTTATTTCTCGCAATTGCGACTTTATTTCTCAGAATTGCGACTTTATATCTCGCAATTGCGACTTTATTTCTCAGAATTGCGTCTTTATATCTCGCAATTGCGACTTTATTTCTCAGAATTGTGACTTTATTTCTCAGAATTGCGACTTTATATCTCGCAATTGCGACTTTATTTCTCACAATTCTGACTTTATTTCTCAGAATTGCGACTTTATTTCTCAGAATTGCTGGAAGCTTGTTTCCTCCACTGAATTGAAAAGAGAAATTGTGAGAAATAAAGTCGCAATTGCGAGATAAAAAGTCGCAATTTTGTTTTTTAATTCAGTGGAGGAAACAAGCTTCCATTGGTTGCCCTTGTACTCAATAATTAGAATATTTTTATTGATTCATTTGTTGACTTAATTTCTCCCCTTTTGGGTGGATGTTTTTCATAGAGCTTCGCAAATGTTAAATGTGACGTTACCTTAGAATTTGACCAAAAGCACATCTGCATTGCATTAAATGATGCCCACTAGGCTCAGAAATACAGTAACTTACACAATTATGCCTTGTTCATAGACACAATGGCGAAAGGGAAGAAGAAATCGAATGATCCGTCAGGTAGAAAAATCACACTCAAGATGGCGAAGAACGCTCTGAAGGTGACAGTAGACGGAAAACGTCGGCTCGACCTCAGCAACATGTCGATCGCCACATTTCCAAAGTGCATCCTGAAGCTTAACGACGTGGACGAGCTGGACCTCAGCCGCAACCTCCTCAAGAAGATCCCAGACACCATCGACAAGTTTGTGAACCTCCGTTTGCTGGATCTGCACAGCAACCACCTGGAGCAGATTCCCGCGGCTATAGGCCGTCTCCCGAACCTCTACAGCCTCAACTTATGCAACAATCATCTGACCACCTCCGGCTTGCCACATGAGCTCGGGCTCTTGAGGAACCTGAGGATCCTCAACCTGGGAATGAACCGCATCGAGACTCTCCCTACATCTGTGGCTGCTCTCAAAGAGCTTCGGGAACTGGGGCTCTTCAACAACCTCCTGACACTGTTGCCCAAGTGTATCCAAAACCTCCCAAAACTGCAGAAGATCAACATCAAATCCAACCCCATCCCTACAGACGAGCCTCCAGAGGTGGACGGCATCCAGAGAGTCGAGGGTCTGTATTTAGTGAGAGAGGACTGTCTGTGCACCGACTGCCTTGAGAAGTGTAAGGCGCACAGGGAGAAGTTAGACAGTCGAATAAGTGCAGCTTCTACACCAAAGAAATCCATCTTTGCAGGTCTCCTAACGCCAAACTCTGTCGCACAAGAGAACCAAGAGTTGTGGAGGTGAACACTAGTCCAAATCATGATATGCAATACAATGATTATTGAGAGATGTACAAATAAACTTTCCTCAAAAGCTTGTTGTATCATACAAGATGTAGTGATGGACCTTCATTGGAGTTCATGTTAATGTATTTATGGAGTTGTAAGTGGCGTTTATACTGCAATAGCTTCTATGTACCACTAGGGAGTAGCAAATATCTAAACAGCCTCGGTTCTCACTGCTGCCCCCTAGAGGAGCTCTACTGACATCACATCTGGAAAGTGTGAGTTCTGCACTTTTATGCTACACAAATAAATATAAATGCAAATTACTTGAAGCTATACATCTTATATTTATTCAGGAAATACCAAAGGACAATTAGCTACTTTAAGAATCACAAATGTTATGTCACTTTAAAGGGATGCACGTTCTTCTAAAATGAGTTTAATGATTGTAAATGGGGAGAGAACTTGTCAGCAATACCAAAATACAACACCTTCATGTACTATTATACTTTCACCAGCTGTTCTTGTTGTGAAAAAAAGGTGCAGGTGAATATAATTATGTTCATATTGATTTTTTTTCATCTCGTTTCTCTCGAGGAACAGTTTACTAATTAACACTCGGCTCAATTCTATTGATTTACGCACATTTGTGCTGTTTTTGAAGATCTGCTCATGACCTGACAAGTGACATTTTAAGATTTCTCTGTTAAACAGTGGAGCAACAAATACACAAATAACATTTACACCTGTGAGACTGTGTATCAAGATGCATGAAATGTCCAGACTTTTTCTTTTGGTACAGTTTATAGGGGTTTAAAAACCATGCATAATGTAATTTGAAAGAACTAAATTCCTCTTATCAAACCAAATGCGTATTGTTAACTGGATAAACACACATAAGCCTGACATATGAGGTTTGAAGTATTGTTATTTGGTGCTCCACATCTTGAAATGACTCATTTGAATGAATCTGGAGGTCTGTAATCCGATTACTCCCACCAGAAGTCAAAGTAAACAAAACTCAACCCTGCTATTAGGCTAAAGTGGATCAAAGTGAAGTCAAAATGGTATGGATAACAGATATTTTACCCAGAAAATAGTCACAGACTCTGAAGGTCCGAGCACGAGGTCTGTAAAATATCACCCGTAACGCATTCTACTTCTGAAATTATGTTGATTTAATCACAAACATGTAACTAAATTATCCTTATAACAGTTTAATTCAATGAGTCTTGTGATAAAGATAGGTAAAATAAGGTCTGCATCATTATCCTTTTGAAAATCTACCATAAACATCTCCTGTTGCTCCATCACTGCATGTCATGTCTCTGGAGGTGCCCTCCTAAATTATTAATACTTCCCAAAATCAATAAGTCATGTGACATCGCATCTCAGTCAACAGAGCCGCAGCTGCGCTAATCAGAATACTTCTGAAGGTTTATTGAACATTTGGTCCCTAATGTCATAATAGACTGAGAGTTTGAGACACTGCAACAACAATGTGTTAAAAATGCATGCCATTTTTTAATACTACAGTAAAAATATATATTTTTAAATGCACTGCAATCTGAAAGTAATAATCAAGGACCTATTTTGTGTGTGTGTGTGTGTACATATACACATCACACCCAAACTTTTCAGTAAAGCCACAAATAAAATGTATTTTCAGCCAAAGCAGAAAAGGTTCTTTAAGGAAAAAGCCATATGAAAGACATGACATGCACCAGAAACTGCCCACTCGAGATCAAAGAATCCAGCCGTGGTGCTCTGATCATCCGACTGGAAAAATACAT